GTACGTTTGGGGCCCCTTATGGTACGTTTGGGGCCCCTATAAAACATTGGGTCCCCTGAATGTCCCCGGTTTATATGTGTGTGGTGGGGTTTCAAGGGAAGTGGGCTGAAGACCACAATGTACAAGCTGCTCTGAAGTTTTCTGGCTTCCAGAGCTGACTGGCGCGCTACACCTATCACCCTCCTTAATGGAGGGGTCACCGCCAGCCTGCCCACCCGCAGTTAAAAAGGTGCTTAATGACTAAGTGCAAAGGGGTTTCTCCTGCTCAGGCTGCATGAAGAGGCCCTTAGAAACGCCCGTTTGGTCAAGCAACCGCCACACGCTGGCTAACAGACTACGGAAAAAGCAGAAAGGTCAGGCCCTGTACTTTCTGAACCCCCCAGGAGGAGATCCAGCGCACACAGCTGGCCAGGTGAGTGTGCTGAATCAAACACCCACAGCGCTGTATTCCTATATATCAACACCACATTTATTCAAATCCCACTACTGAAGAGTAATAGGTTCGGCTCTTAGCAACGATGGCAAGCTAGCAAGATTTTTATTTGCACTTAATTACTTTGCATGCCTTCTTGCGGGAATTGGAGAATCAGCTTTCAAACAATAAACCAGGTGCTCAGGTGGGAGCGGAGTCACGGCGCTGCGTTCAGGTTTGCTGCTATAAAACTCTTTTCCTGGAGTTTTATTTTCATCATGCCATGTCATCTGCCTTCACACGCGTCTGTTCTTGGCGTACGCCACTTCTCGGGATCGTGTGAGATTCCTGCTTATTATAGTTCCTCTTGTTTTTCGAGAGGCCCCCGGTACAGTACCACACAGCCTCCCGGGTCCCGGGCTGGGAGGGGGGGTCTCAGTCGCAGGTTAAATGTGAGGTGAGACCAGTATTTTTGGGGATAGTGTGCCCCCATCAGGCTGGTCCAAGGGGGTCTTCCCTTCCCTCCCACCTCTCTCCATTCCTTTCACCTGTCTCTCTCTCCTCATCTGTCTCTCATTGTGTCTTCCTCTCTCCGTCTGACTCTCTCCTGTCTCTTTCCCTCCATTTTTCTCTCTCTCTCTCTCTCTCTCTCCCCCATCTCTCTATTTCCTGAGGCGTTCCCTAAAGGCATTCACCTGCTTTGCGTGGCACAGCTGAATTCCCAAACAAATGCCCCCCACCCACACACGGAAAGTCCATGAGAAGCCGCTCTGACTACCTAAGCATCAATTTAATGCAAAAACAAAGTGTGACGTGCAAAACAAACTGGCAAATGGGGGACAGGATATGAGACAATAAAGCAGAGGCTCAGATGCCCCCAGAAGCAGCCCAGATGCCCCCAGAGGGGGCCCAGATGCCCCCAGAGGCGGCCCGGACAGCCCCAGAGTTGCCTCGGAATGGAGCTCTAACCTTGACAGGCCGCATCTGCAATGTTCAAATTGCTTTTGCTTCACCTCGCACCCCTTGAACGTTTTTCAGGGCCCACCCCCCCAGGGGCAACATTGAACCCCTGACCTCACCCAGTGGTGCCCAGGTGTGACGTGAAGCGTTCCAGTCCAGTAAAAAAAGGACCAGTTCCATATTTTACTGAAAAAACGGCTATGACTTTTTTTCATTAAAAAAGCGCATTCCAGCCCATCTGTTATCACAATCTTTTGTTATTTCTTTTTAAAATGAATTTGCTTCACGGATTTCAGCAGCTTTGCGTGCTGGAAAGCACTGAGTCAGCCGGCAGCCTGACAGCCGGCAAACACGGAAAAAACGGGGGGAGAAAAACCAAACCCGAAACCCCCAGGGCAGAATGGGATCTGGGCCAACGATCCGAAAGGCCTTTGAGAACGAGCTTCCCTGCGCAACTCCACCCCAGCCTCCCCAGGTGGCGCTGTTGGGATCTCCGGGTCGTTGGGCGGTGAAATGACAGAACAAGGAAACCAATTGGCAGACCTGCAGTTTCACAATCCCCCTAATTCTTAACAGCTGTCCATGGCTAAATGGAAAAATCGCTTCGTAGTTAAACATCACCGCACTGGGGCAAGGGCTGCAGTTTAATTAAAAAGGACCTTTGGGGTCTTTGCTGGTGACATCAAGCATTATTTTCACAGTGGAGGACGGAGGCGATATAATATGGAGATTAAATGTGGGATATGGGCCATTAGGTCATGTGGGGAGACGGATGTTGCATCCTGATAGGACAGGAGTGCTGGAAACGGCGTTTGGCGGGGAGGGAGAGAATGGAGCCATTCATCAGACGGAAGGGTGGCTTTAAAAGTCTCAAAAGATACCCCGGGCCGACAAACGAACCCAGCAGACAAAGACGCCAGGCTCTGCCCCATAACTTAAAGCCATACGGCGGCAAGGTGACTGTCTGAGGGCGGGGGAAGCTGTCCTGCCTGTCGCATTTCATCACAGCACTGCGCACATCCCCCCGGTAGTTCCATCTTCTAGTTGCTTTCTCCTGATCCAGGCTCACTGTGCTTTACTGCTCTTATAAACACCCACCCCCCCCGCCCGAAGCCTAGTCCGGCGGAATCAGAGGAGCGGATCCCTGTCGATCCCGATCCAGCTATCCCTGTATACGGGTCTCCAGTTCAGTCCTGTCACTGCTAAGAAGGGGGTCGACAAACTTTTACATGGAACAGAACCGGGACCAGTGCTGACTGGAACAGAACCGGGACCAGTGCTGACTAAGCACGTTTAAACCCCTCCCACCTGGAGGACGCAGCAGTTTTTCATACCGGTATAGGAAGAGAAATCCTTCTGAGGAACATCCTTTACCTCCATGTACAGAATTTTTTTTCTTCACTCTGATCTTACGTCTGCTTCAGGGTTTTTTTGAGTTGGGGGTCAGAGTGGGGAACCCCCCCCAGCCACCTTAAGGCAGGTTACTGACTCGAGTGATTCGCCATCTGTAAATTCGTGCAGTAAGAGCCCCGCCGCTTCGCTGACACATCATGTGGTCCAGCCGTGACAAATACCGAGGACACATCATGTGACCAAACCACAGGTGCTCTGTTCTAGAAAGCCCCCCGCCTCAAAAGGGGTTCATTTCCCTTAAACCACATGGACCAAATTCACACACACACACCTTAAAATTGGTCCTCACAATATCAAAATAACAGGTTTTTTATTACATTGTGGGGTACATTTGGTCCCCAATATGTTATATAAACATAATCCACACAAACAGTCCATATATTCATATCTTTATGGGGACTCTCCATTCATTTGTATGGGCAAAACCCAAATCCTAACTATGACCACCTTAAACTCTACCCAGCCCTAACCGTAACCAAAAGTAACCAAACTAAGCCGAGACACAGGTTTTTGGTTGCAGTCACAGATTTTTATAAAATGTAAGTTATCCTAGTGGGGCCCGAACAAAAGTCCCCGCAAGGTAAAAAATTACAGGTTTCTATCACATTGTGGGTAAATCTGCCCCCCCCCCACAATGTAATAATCACAAACACACACACACACACCAGTTCAAAAACACCCATTTTTTTACACTCAAATAAAATCACATCACCACCCGATTCAGGGCCAGCTTCCTGCTCCAGGACATCAGCTCCCTAAACAATCGGTGACCTGCACCCCCCCCCCATTGCACTGTATTGCACATTGTTAAAATTTCACTTCTACATTTCACTGTGCATCCTTATCTGCTCTGCGCATATTTGTTACTTAATCATTGTTTACTTGTTCTTACTGCACTGCTGTTTGTCCTGTCCTCTCCCCTGTGACCTTGGCATAAGGATTCCGGCATGTTCCCTAGGTCCATACAGCACGCAGTGGAGGCCGGACCCCGGCTGAACCCCAGGGACACCAATTCCAACCCGGTACTGTTGGCACGCCGTGGTACGTGGCACGACAGGTGGTCACCCGTCACGGGCAACCCAGCCAGTCTCATTCACAGGCCCCTTCAGACCTTTCAATTACCCGACAGGACGAGATAAGCTTTTAGCAGGAGAATGACCCATGAAAATGGCATCTCCTTAAGCCCCCGCCAGTGGGGGCCTCCTGTCAGTGTTATTACTCCCCAGGAAAGGTACAGTATCAGTCCCCCACCCTTCCTCTAGCGATGAAACAAAAAGCCATTTGAACCAGGCTATTAAATCAATGACTCCCCAAAACTCCCACTCACTATAATAGCTGTGCTGGCAACAACAAAAAATCCCAGATTGAAAGGCGGGCAGGTAAATGTAGAGCGGCAACCTCCCTACGCAGCCGTCTCACTGAGCGGGGGCTCACTTTTATGCTCTGGTGCCGTTTCAGAACAAACGGTTCTAGGTAGAGGAGCTGCCATCCAGATTAAAGAGGAATTCCACCCCGAGAGTAATGAAAATGACGATTTATTCGCCATATGTACAAGTGCAACTGCATTGGAATATGTTTTTTTTCACATATCCCATCATGCTCTGCTATTTTAAGACAGAAACACATAGAGGTGAGACCAAACCTTGGGGTCGGACTGCAGGGTCAGCTGTCCATCCAGCACCCCAGAGACATTTTTTGAGTAGTTAAGGACCTTGCTGAAGGGGTCAATGGAAATTTGGCTACTGAGCCAAGCACGGGACTCAAACCCATCGACCTTCTGATCACAGGCACAGAGGCATAACACACCAACCCACAAAGTTGGTGAGCAGTGACCTGAAGGAGGTCGCAATGCCATAACCACGTGTGTGGAAGGTCACTAGGACCCCTTCCATCCTTGTGGTCCTTCAAGTAAAGTCATGCTTCTGTTCTTCATCCATCTATCTTCCAAGCGTCTACCAGCTGGTGTCCGGGGTGTTCCCTTGTCCCCTGTCCTGCGCTGCCAGGAATAGGCTCCAGTCCCCCCCCGCCCCCCAAAGTCGAAACCCCGTACACTTCCTTTTCTTCATCACCACACTAACGTCCCACTTATCCAAGGAACACGGCGCCACGAGATCCAGCTCTTTTGTTTTCCAAAAATAATCCCCCCTCCGACAGCGGGTGTGAGCTGCAAGTCTGCTGAGATGCTCTACAAAACCGAAGCAGCTTTCTAAGTGGCTTCAACATCCACCACCTCTGCTTATGACAGCCTTGCTGCAAATGATGCGACTTTTACAGAAAAAATTACACATTGTGATATTTATTAACGGGAAGAATGTATGCTACCCATTCCGGAGTAAGACTCTTCAGTGAGAGTTATTTAGTCTAGATTTCTACACGAGGTACAGTTTGATTTCCAGTGGATTTCCCACCATGTTAAAGCAACTTCTCTTATGTGTGATGGGTTTTTACAGGCCCAGCATGGTATAGTGGTTTCGGCATAGTGGTTGAGGTTCTGTAACTGGCTCAAACCAGCAGAGGCAGACTCTTCATAGCTGTGGGAGGAGGGCCAGAAAAACCTCATTGCCTCAGATAAACTCTTAGTATTCCTGGGTAATTTTTTAAAATATCTAACTGCCTCAGTATCTATCTATAAATAAATAAAAGTGCATCATCAAAGTCACTCAACTACTCACCCGCATTTAAATTCATATGAATCAAATATTTAAAAATACTGAGAGTCTCACTGCAGCACTGCAAACCCATATCAGAAATGGGCTTTACGAAACAATTTTGAATATCAAGACATGAATCCCTGATAAATGGTGGTATTTCTTATCAAATCTGACAACTGAACACGAAAATTTTATTCAGATTATTATCATTAATCTTCTGGCACATCAAAAAATATCTGACTGGACAACCACGGTTATTGTGTGTTCAGTATCTGTAGAAATCGAGTGACTCCATCCATTAAAAATGTGTTACTTTTATATATTGCGCCGGGTGGTATAATGAGTGCAATATGGGTCTAAATTATTGACCTTGCTTGTGAACAAGAAGAAAAATCCAGAAGAGCAGCTGTTCGGGCGACTGGTTTAAGTCTCAGGCCAACATCTTTTCAGTGGAAGCATTCAGCTGCTGCTTCATAAAGTACATATAGCTATGACCCACTTTTGCCTCCAGAGTCGCTTCAAGGGTAGATGAGTTATGCATTCAGAGGAGTCACTCTGTCCATCGCCGCTGTACTGAGCTGTTATTTTTACACTTATGGCCTTCCTGTTGGCTTTAACAAGTCTGGCTGTTCTCCTCTGACCTCCTCATTAACTCGGCGGATCTGGATCCCGAGCTACCCTCCGTCTGGTTGGATTTTACTTTTATTTCACCATTCTCTGTAAACTCTAGACACTGCAGTGTGTGAGGATCCAGGGGAGGCGCCGTTTCTGAGATTCTGGACCTACTAGGTCGGGCATCCACGATGACGCCACGTTTAAAGTCACACGTCTTAGCCATTCTAATACTGAGCCAAACAGAAAGTGAACTTCAACCTTGTCTGCGTGCTCTTTGAATTCACCAGTCTGTCTGCATTATCAAGCAGGCATGCCCTTTCTGTATATCCACCTACATCTGAGAGAAATTGTACATTTTTGAGAGTATAGTCTATAACTGAACTGAGACCTACCCAGACCGATAAACACTTATCACAAACCTCTCATCTTCCTTAACCTCCTTAGGTTTTGGTCACATGGTCAAGGTCATGTGATATCTAATCTTCCAACTTACAAAGGGGATTCTGGAATTTCCATTTAAAGAACTTGATGATGGCAAGCGTTTGATAGCAGAGGAAAACTCAGTGCAGACAGAGCAAAATCAAAAGATATTACTCAGAAAATTGAGTTTATCACACTTGTCAGACGAACAGCCCTTCTTTGTTATAAAAAAACAAGGATTGACATAACTGGTACGCAAGTACGCATTCACCTTTAAAAACGATCGATTGTGGCAACAGTGTAAATGTGTACTTATTTTATGTGCATTTATGCTGCTATAACAAGAAAAAACCTTGCATTTTAACCTGTATACCACAAATGAAGTAGAGTCAGCATATAAAGATTAAAATGCATTATATTTTGTTTTCATAACAGCGCAAATGCACATTAAATAAGTACGCATTTGTGCTTTTACAAACAATCGATTGTCGCAGGTATCATTTTTAAAGGTGAATGCGTACTTGCGTACCAGTTATGTCCATCTTGGGTTATAAATATATAACATATATACATTTATAAAATATAGTGTTCTGGGACTGTTATTTTCTGCCAGAATTGGCGTTTTCTTACCAAAAATAAATCCTTTTTCATACTTTTGGAATGTAATTAATTTATTTTTAAATTTATTTGGGTGGAGTGTCCCTTTAAGCTTATTTAAGCTGAACCTCCCAAACAATCGGTATCGGTGTCGGTTTTTCGAAATAATCGGCTATCGGTATCGGCCAGAAATTCCCTTATCAGTAATGTAAAGGAACTACAGAGGATATATGCAGGAGGGGGGTCCGAATGCCCAGAAATGGCATGTCAGTGGGTGTAGGGCGGGATGGGGCCATCCAGGGACACTCACACTCCTCCTCCTTCGGATCGAGCTGGGTGACACTGATGGACAGCCGGTCCACTCGCTCCTGGAGGGAGTTCACCCGGAACGAGAAGGAGTGCGCCTCATTGAACAGCTCCCCAAACAGATCCTCTGCATATTTACCTGTACAAAAAAACAAGCAGGAAGCAAACCTCGGGTCACTTCCTGTCTGCTCCATGAAAAGCTACACCTCAGTGTGAGTGCATCTCCAGTGTGAGTACAGCACACGCCTTTCAGGGCGATTACACCCGGAGAGAGCTGCACTTTAACACAATGGTCATTCCCCCCCCCAAAAAAGAAAATGAATGCAAGAAATCCTCGTTTCTCTCTGTTGTTCTGGTGAAAAACACCTCAACATCACTGAAAAAAAATCTCATTTAGATTTAAAATGAAAAAATTCAAATAAAAAGAAAGAAAAATAAGATCTGCATAGAGCGCTGGTGAGTATTTAGAAGCCCAGTGAAAAGGCAGGCGGAAGACAGTCACTGTAATTTATATTCTTACATTTCATATTTTTCTGATACTTTACATTTTTGTTTATTTCTTTATGTAACTTAATCTAAAACACATTGAGTTTCACTGTGACTTGTTACAATGACGATAAAGGCATTCTATTCTATTCTATTCTATTCTATTGTACAGCAGTGATTGGATAAGGCTGAACATGTGACTGGGTGGCAGACTCTGTTTCCTGTAAACAGACGCTGGCTCACTGAGGCTGCTGAGCTGGCGGATGACGTTGGCCAGGGACACGTTGGTCATGCACTCCAGCTCATTCTTGATGCCCCGGGGCAGTGCCGTGTGGCACAGGTACCGGGGCTCGATGTTCCTCTTTACCAGCGGCATTCTGGGTCACGTCGAGGGCGGAGGAACCTGGGGAAAAGATGAGCATGTTAAGCGAGGAGCAAGTCACAGCCAACGACAGTCTGCCAGGCCACTGATCCTTCAGAAGGACCCGGTAAAACCCCAGGCAGCCCGGGGCCCTCCACCCGTCCAGAGAAACACCTTCAGCACCATCTGGAGAAAGTTCATCATCAGTAAGGAAGCTCTCCCAATCTTAAGCGCTCACAAACGGTCTAAACGGCTCAGGTCTTTACTGTCACGCTGCCCAAATTAAACCAGCACAACTGACAGATCAACTATACACTAATGAAGAGAGGGTCAGGAAGCCCTAACCTGTTAACCACCTTGGCATTCACAGTTTCCTGGTGCTTTGTAAATGGCTGTGTGGCTGACAGTGTAGCTGCCAGGCCCTGGGGGAGTGGCATATTACTGCTGTTTACCAAGGCTCACGTTTCTGCACAGACTCTTACACACCATCACCCTGACAGCCTCACACAAACCGGTGTACAGTTACCCCCCCCCCCCTGCAAGCTGCCCCGCGCTGCCTGCACACCTCAGGCCTTTTTCACCCGACAGAAGCTCATTCTGTCCTCGCCTGTCCTGAAAGTCGACGGATTTGTGCACCCAGATTTAAATCTAGATAGATGCGGCACCGGCTAGTAAAACAGGTCTGGTCACTGGAAGACGACCTAGAGCAAGTCAGTAATGTACTGTGCAAAACTCTTAGGCGGCCAAAGAAAATGTTTAAATGGCCTTCATGGTATAATATCACGTCTGTCAAAGTGTGTCGGCATGGCCACTTCAAAACCTCTTCTAAACTCAGCCCAGCATTTGCAGCCACCATCCAATATATTCATGCATTTTTGACTCAACCACTAGTGCACTGTGTATGGCTTATCAATTTGTCATTGACTTTTTAAGCTAATTCAATTAAGTGAGCTGGCTGTGAAATTTAACAAATACAAAGAATAGTTGAGGAAAGGTTTGGGCAGCATGCGGTGATCTTCTAGCCATCCAACAAGTTATCAGTGACTTTTTGGAGAACAGAAGAAATTCCTGTTTGTTTTTATTGTTACTCCTAATTTGCATATGTTGTGTTTTTTTGAGCACACTTATTATTCAGATAAATAGCCTTAAACACTCTTTGACTGCTTAAGACACACACATTACACACTGTATTGTCTGCAGAAACTGTCAATTTCAATCAGGCAGACGAAGGACACCATTGACAGGACCCTGATTGATGGAAACAGCTTAGTCTGAGGGGCCACTTGACCTATTTTGAGGTGTGTGTCTGGAAAAGATACCACAGGGGTCTGTACTGTGGAGCTTCAGTGTCCAACCACAGAGCAACCAAGCAGGGGGGCTGGCCAGGGCAGCCAGACACTCCATGGGGGGGCAGCGCCTGTCCTCTCCCAGCTAACTAATGCGCCATAACAAAAAAATTGCTACACTGGAACACATTTTTTTTTTAAAACCCAGCTGTATTCTTAGATCCAGTCATATTTTCACCTGCTGGAGACAGGAGTGAAGAGCAGTAAATAAGGGTGTCGAGGCAGGGAAGGGGAGGGTGGGGGGATCTGAGTTGCGTAGAAGCAGATTCTGATGATTTAAAAGAAACACCCAGCTGCTTTTGTGTCTCCTATCTGTAAAATAATCAGGAAAACAGTTCCGTAGAACACATAGGAAAGATGGGGGAGACAGTCAATAACATCTGCAGCAGCTCACACTGTTTCCAAAATGCAGGAGAAAGACGGGACTGAAACAGGGATGCAGTTCCACTCAAACGAGGTGTAAATCTCACCGTACTCTCTCTTTTTATACTGAGTGGAGCTTTGAGGTCACGTGTTGGTGATGGAGCACAGTGCAGGTGGACGAGGCGGTTGCAAGAGCAGGAAGCCCAAGCAGACCTGAGCAACCCCCCCCGAGCAAAATTTCTAGCTCATCAGGATGGACAAATTGGGCCCGACTGCATGCAAATCAGTCCCGTCACATCAAACGGGCTTCCGACGGGGGCGGCCATGCTGTCTGTTCTCTGGATAGCTCACTGCAATAAATGTCCCTCTCCTCAATTTTTCAAAAGCCAATTTCAATTTACCCCAGAACACAGCATCGATGTTGACCCCACAGCAGTCCTACACCCACCCCTGAGGGGATGCCCTCTGCAGCCTGACCTCTGGAGACACACTGACCTTCTCCCTTCTGATTGGCCGCCTCTTGATTCAGGGCGGTCCTCAGTGACCTCTTGCACACGGCCGACAGACAGACGCATACATACACAGCTCCTGCCAAGCCGCAGGCCGGAGTGGGGAGACCTCTTTGCTACACTGCTGCCTGTGCTTAAATTCGCTCACAGAGGCTGCAGGACAGTCACTGAACCCTAGCGTACATTTTCTTTTTGAACGTGGTTACATCGCTTATCTGTCTGCCGAAGGCTTTTTATTGCAACCGCTTCCACGGCTTTCTCACTTCCATTCCACGCCAGTCTGCTCTGCCAGACATTTATTTAGCCCAGAAAGCCCACCGCTATCCCTTAACTGTGTAAATCTGTATATGGTGGTTTTCTCTACATCCAGATCCAAACAGGCACCTCAATAATTCAACCCCCCTCATATCTCCGAACGACAGCAGGGCATATTAGCACAAAGAGTGGAATAGACTTGGCAGCCAATTTAGACCCTCCCCGTGTCACATAATATAATCACCACGCATTCACTATAACTAAAGGTTCCCAGAATGTGAGGTCACTGGCTGGGATGTAAGAGTGTCAGAGTGTGAGGTCACTGGCTGGGATGTAACAGTGTCAGAGTGTGCGGTCACTGGCTGGGATGTAAC